ATATTTCTCTAGAATTTACTAAAAAAAGTGTTAGCTGCAATTATCATACTAAATTTCGATCTTCGTCAAGATCAGTTGATTTTTTAGAGAATTTATTATTGCATTTTATTAAACAGAAAAGGGAAATAAGATATGACAGCTACGGCGGCACAAAAAGGTGAACCAGCGCTATCCGTAGATCCGGAAACGGCAATTTTTCTTCCAAGTGGTGGCAAATCAGAACATATGCTTGTTAATATAAGTGAAAAACGACTTGCTGTTAAAGTGGGATTCATTGCATTTATCCATTTCAGAAATAGGTCTAATAGAATAGAAGGGGTAGGAAAGAAGAGTACATAAATTGAACATTTCCTTAAGCAGTAAATAATTTTAAGCTTAAGACACTAAAAGATATTTGAAATTATCTGTTTGTCTTCTTTCTAAATTAGTTGCTTTGTTATCAAGCGTTATATAATCTTGAGAACCAGCACATAATAATTAACCGTAGCGGTGACCTTAAATATATAATTTCAGGTACGTTGTAGTGATAATAATTTGTTTCGAGTAAGCCAAGTTTATATGTTCATAGAGCCAGGCTCATGTGGTAATCTTGTGATAACGAGGCTACCTGGTATTTAAATCCATTAATTCGAAATAAATTTTTACGGCGGAGGAATAACGGTGCAGTATTAGCTTATATAATTAAGAGAAGAGAATTTAATGTCAAGAAAGCAGAAATAATCACTAATGTTATGTTACAATTTTTTCCTGTAATATTTGTGCCAGAGCGTAGTGTAAGCACTTTTCTTTTTAAAGTTCCTACAAAAAAATTACGATAAGAATTCAAAATAAGATCTTTCTGATCGTTTCATACTTATGCCTTTATGAAATTAATTTTGATGCGGAATCAAAAAAAAAACGACCGTAAAATTACTTTCTATTATACGAATATCTGTTAAATGCTTATATCTGTTTACAGGTCCAGTAAAATCTGATAAATTAGTATTCCACTATTTCGTTTGTGAACCGAATGATTCAGAACCAAAAGAAGTATTTAAAATAAATTCACAAAAGTCACCAGAAATGCTGAAGTTGCCAATAAATATTATTTCTGCTGAAGATGTTCCCAAGGTGAAACTAATCAAATAATAATCGCCCAAACTGCTACATATTCATCACTTGTCCATTGTTTAAATCCTTGCTTCCTTTGCTCAAATCACATCTTTTCAATTTTACACTTTCATACATTACCGGTAAAACTGATATTGAAAAGATCTGGAATTTGATCATTTATTCTATGCAAAACGAAGAGCTGCGCAGATTATATCTGCATTGGCATCATTTGTATTGCGATACTGTAACTGTTTATTTCTTATTTACAGAAATATAAATTTTTTATGAATAGGAAGAAATGTCATAGAAAATTGTAGAACTTAACATTTATATATTATTTATTCAGATTGGACAATCACCAGTGTCTACGAATCAAAAAGAACGCTAATAAGAATATTATTGGCCCAGAGGAGAATTAATCATAAAAGTTATAATTTATAATGCATGTAAACGAGACAAAAATTTTTATATTGTCCCAATATAAGGTAATTTGTGCTAAAAAGTCAAAAAACTATGATTAATTAATTAATATAAAGATATTATCATAATAAAATATTTCTTAATTTATATAGCATTGTAAAACTGCTAGCAACCCAAATTCATCTACTATAAATTCGAAGGGAATTGAATTAAAAATAATAACAAATTCTTAAATCCTTCTTTCCAAATACCATCTTTATAAAGTGGATTAGAACGTTTCAATTTTCAACATGTTTCGGATAAAATCCGTTGTAACTACTTGCATTAATTTTGGGCTATGGAAGAAAGTTCTGATTGAGAAATTGAATAAAAAATTGAATAAAATCAGATGATCGAGAATCAAATGACAGTTATTATCAATAGATTATCTTCTTATTTAAATGATGTAAATGAATGTTATTTATTCTTTTTCAATTTTTTCTTTTTCAAATTTCAATTTTTTTTTGTCTGAAAGGACAGAGAAAACTTCTGTTGATAATGATTAATGTTAAACTTAATTAATCTGTGATAAATTGCAATAATAACAACTTTCAATGCATCTTGATCATCATTGTGTGATATTAAGTTGTGTTTCATCCCAAGTTATATCGAATTAATCGCTATAAAAAAATAAATCAGTCTTTCTTAAATGTTTTTGAAATAATTATTCAACTTCAAAATCGTTCACTAGAATTTAAGATTGTGATGCAAATTTGAACTATTGCTCTTTCTAATTTTGCATATACGACGACTACACAGTTATACCTTCAAAATGTCTAATGATGTAAGCGCAAGCCGAAAAATCCACCATTTTATATTGAGAATTTCATTTCTGTTGTGAGCAGGAGTATTGAAAAAGTTGAAAATTACGCGTGGTTGAAAGTTGAAAAGAAGTTAAAATTTGCTCTTGCATCTTCAAGAATTTTTTTGCGACTCACATTGTTTAGGAAATAAAACTGAGCGATTTTCCCAAAATAATATATTTTTGGAAATAATATGAACGATATATTACAGAAGGAAATGATTTCATTTATGGCTACTGAAGAAGCAGGTAAATACAGCAAGTGGTAAAATTTAGCTCAACTCGTATATATTACATTTAGCATTGAGTTACTCATAATAGAGAGTGATTTCATTGATTTCATTTATGGCTATCATTTGTATATTTAAGAAAAGCAGATAAATAAAACAGGTGATCAGATGCTAACTCAACTCGTGCATATTATACTTAGTAATTCATAATGCAGTGGAAAATGCTTCCAAATGTTTACAAAATATAAAATCACTTGAATAAGTATTTGTTTTAAGAATTTGGTTTGAAAATTAATGAAAGTTACAATGAATATGAAAATGATTTCTCTTCGTTCTTAAAGATCAACTTCAAAGATGCCGGGGAAAGAACAATCAGTGCAAAGATGCTGAAAAACGAAAAAAAGATTCACAACATATATTAATTAAAACGCATAGCAGGGAAAAATGAGCTGATTCAATTTTATTTCATTCAATCTTTTTAAAAACAAAAAAAAGGAGTTTAACAAGAAATTTAATTATTACAGCTGTTTGACGATTCAGCAAATTGTTCTTCTGGACTGGTTCAGCAGGCCTATCATTACTCCATTTTCTACTAGCAAATATCTTCTGGACTTGCTTAATTCCTTCATTATTTCGTATAACAGAAACTTCCAAATAGAAGTTCCCAAACTGTTCCACCCTTAAAACAATAATGTTTTGCATTAAATTATGCATTAAAACTGTATAATTAATATATTATTTCTAAATGACGTCAATGCTGATTAATATTTACAAAAATCATTTAATAGTTTAAAATTTGAACTAAATTTTTGAAAAGTTTCCCAATTTGAGTAAGCAATTAGCAAAATTTATTAATTGAGATGAATGACAATAATTCGCTACTAACTCCGATGGCTATCAAAAGGCCATTTCATTGGCAAGAAACATGAGTGGATGAGCGATATATTCCAATAAAATGATATAATATGTAAAGCCATGTATTCGATTAGCAAACTCGTTTATCAAGATAGCCGATGAACAAAGCAACAGAAATAGCGTCCCAATAAAACGTATCAAAGCTGCCTCAAAAAGTTAGTACCGCAATTTCGACTAATTATACATGTTAAAATTGTTCTTTTTCTTTTTTATCTTACAATATTATTATAACGTTACACATTTCAAATTTCAATGTTACAAGAAAATATTATTCCAAATTTATCCGCAAACGTAAACTTACTTGACTTGAATACGTTCTATTCTTAGACCCGAATTTATAAACAGCGCTCGCTGCTCCAACCATAATACAATTTAAAGCCAAATGTAATGACGTAAAAGTGACATGTACAGGAATCGAATAGTAAAGATCGGCAAAACAGTAGAAAATCAGGCAAAAATAATAAATGAACAATAAAATAGCAAACTCATTCCATATTCGTTTCACACAATCTATGAATGTCAGTAAATATACAGTTTTGCCAAATGACATAATAAATGAGGTCCACTGAGGGATATTTCGTTTTGTAGGCACGAGATAAGAAGATATTGCTGAAAGAATAATTTTACAGTTACAATCATTCTGATAAGACAGGAAGAAACAGATTCATTGGACGGATCTGCAACAGTAACAGTAAGAGAATTGGAGTGCAGCTGCTTAACTAATCAAAATTTGCTTCTTTAATCTAATTTAATTCTTTTAGAAGAGAAATATATCCAATGTTATATCAGCATTTCCTTTCTGTATTCAGATAATATCCAATATAGATATTTCATTAAAGTGCAAATGTCATAAAGCATATAAAATGCCATTCTTTTTTTGTATTTAATAAGGAAACATTTAAAATAAAAGAAATCGCGAGCACAAACCAGCCAACAAGAGCCAAATCGTAGTAAGATAACGCTTCTTTTCTGGCATCGTAAGATTCATAGTGCAGAAGGCAAGAGTCAAATATGGTAGTGAAACTAAAAATGGTGCTTCTTGTCGAAAACCATCACTTTCTATGTAGGCTAATGCTACAAGTATAAAATATAAAGACAATATTTGAACTGGTCCCGAGAACAAACCAACTGTCATCACCTAAAATACATATCAAGTTATTGTATAGATATACAATATCAAATTCGAAAAAAAATTTCCGTGAAATACTGCATATAAAGTTTGATTTTTTTAGCTTCTGAAATTTAATCTTTTTGTCAATCTTTATTTTCCAAATCAGTTTTATATTTTAGAGATGCAAAAGGATGAGAAGTACAAATGGCATGAATTCATGCACCATTTAATGGTCGCCTTAATTGATAATTTTGTAACCTGAAGACAAAACAATTGCTTATTCTCTGAATTAAAGAGATGAAGTATCTGAACAATATTTTGAATCAAAAAGGATAAAGTATTTGAACAGTATTCTGACAAAACCCTATATCAATGCAATATTCGGTAGTGCAGATAACAAATCTGAACAGTTAATTAACATTAAAATATATTATTATGTAAATTCTACACCAATGACATTTATTAACAACATATTACAATTATTTGGCTTATGAAGTATTTTTAAAATTTATTATAACGATTGATCACAATGAAAATGGTGTTAGCCATCGTCTTAGCTACATCACTAATTAAATAAGACATTTGTGTTATACGTCAAAGCTTTTAGCTATCCTAAATATTGCAACAAAAAGGAATTTTTTCAATATACTAAAGATTAGATAATATAGTAATAATAAACAAAAGTTTTCTCCTTTATTGATAATTGCAAAAATATGTCATGGCAATGCGAAACTAAATCAAACTGATTTGAACGCATTTAAATTCACCAAATCTCAGAGTTAACTAATGAAAATTTACCTCATAGCAATGCAAATGGTAGATTTAAAATTCAGTTCAATAAATAGTTGATTGATAGTTAAGACAGGATGGAAGAGTGATAACGTTTATATACAGATCGACATAAGAAGCACCATTTTCAACATTTATATTTAAAAACATATGAACAGGCATGTCGTGATCAATTTAAAGATAGGATAACATCCTAAATAAAGTTGCACCTGAGGTGTGGGAAGAAATAAAGGAGAGGAAGAAATGGAAGCTGTCAGGAGATAATAAATATGAAGAGAGATAATGAAAAAAGCAGGCTTCAAAGGTGCACAGGAAAATTAAACATTAGCTGTTTGAATTCTCAATCAATCATTCAAATTCATTCAAATCATTCACGTTCAAAAAATCAAAAATAACAGTTTCCATTCGTCAGTATATAAGAATATTTAATTACAGGATGATGACACATCTTCACCTATAAGTGAGCTTTTTAAACATTACTGTGGCAAGCAACTGAAAGCATAACATTTCTAATTGATGGAAATATTTCTTTCGAAATTTTAAAACGCAAAGACTTTCACTTCATCATTCTAAACAAATAACATTCTAAACATGCCTCCACGAGATACGTGTTTTCAACGATTTGTATATTTAGCATTAGATCAAATAATAGTAATTACTTTAATCAGTTTGAATGTGACAAAATGATTAAAGTAATTACCATCACTTGATATTTGCTACTATCGAATATGTAGGTAAATATGAATGCGTTTTCAGCCAAAAATATGTTGACTAATTTAATAATTTGGCTTACTTTGAGATAAAACAATTCCAAGTCAAGTCATTTTTGGACTTGATTACATTCAGGTGTATTAATTGGTGGTTAATTGTCATAAAATTCAAATTTCTTTGAAAATTTTGCAAACAAAATTTAAAATTAGAAATTTCACGGAAATCATAAACGAATTTTAACCCTGACCTAATATTCAGGAAGAAAAGAATGAATAGCCAACAATGCAAATATAACTTATCAAAAAGCTTACAAAAACGGATTTATTAGAGTTGAGAGATTTCAAAAATGGAGAAAGTTTCGAAAGTTTTCCGAGGATTATTCTAATAGGCTTGCGGTTGCAGCAAAACATCCATCAATATATTTAGCGGAAGTTTTTGCAAAAAATGCAACTTGGCATAGATCCAAGAATTTAAACTTTTATTTGCAATTGCCAATGAACAATTTAGAGAGCTGCATATATTGCATTGCTGTTTTCGAGAATTTCATATGATATTGCATTTTACTGAAAAAATATGTCATGGCTAAAAGTAAAGTTCAAATTGATAAAAAAAGTTTGGGAAAATTCGAAAAGCGACCTTTCTAACTGCACCTAAACAGTAAGATGTTCAAAATTTGAAATTAAAATTGAAAAATGGAGGAGAATGGGAAAATGGGAGAAAGCTATCATTTTTTTTGAAATCAGAGATTAACTATACAAAAGTTTCTTTCGGAATATTAATGCCCTCCCTTGTGAGTCAATAAAACTCATATCTAAATGAATTTTTTAAAAGAAGAAATCCAGATTTTTTGATTAATTAGAAGAACTGTTTGTTCTTCTAATTATCATCAAAAGTTTGTTTTTAAGTACAATAAAAGATAAAACTTTTGGTATTTTCTGGATCTCTTTAGGAATCAGTGTGCAAGTAAGATCGATCCCTTAGGTTAAGATAAAATCATGAATAGATTAAACTGTGGAAATTATCAAAAGAGAATTAAATGCATGAATTTCTTCATAAAAAAGTTATGTTTTTAGAAAAAGTTTTCTGATCCGTAATAATCAAATCATCTCTGCATTTATTATAGTTATTAAAAGTAAAAAATTTCAGAGCATTTTCCTACTTCATGCTCGACCAACTATCAGATCATAGTCTAAGCTCAAAATAAGTGCTAAGATAGATCATATTTGAAATGAGATAGATAGTCTAATAAATTTAAAAAACTAGCCTTCAGTGATTTTAAAGTGAATCAAAGCTTCAATGCTTTAAACATTGAAAATGATAAAAGGAATATGAGAAATCGTTCAGAGTAAAAAAATTTTTTCGAATGTTTTTAGTGGGATATCCTTACGGTAGGCAATGTTTACACTTTCTAAAACATTGTCCACGAATTCATTAGTTTATATATTCAACTAACATTTCATTTAACAAAAAAAAAAAAATTGTTCTGAAAAAAAATAAGAGCAACTGTTCAACTCATAATTCTCATAATTTCAGAAATGTTTACGCAAAAAATTATCGTTCTCAAAAGAACTAAAATTTAAAAAGCAAAGTACTTTTTGTTAGGAGTACTAGTTTTGATGTGGCTGAAAAAAGAAAATGTCTCTATGAAGTAAATAATGCTGGTGATTGATAAGTTGGCAATAACAATCGTAGTGTCGAGATAAAATCTAGCAAATCGTAAAATTAATATCTCTTGATATATTAAGTGGATCGTCAAAAATCAACAAAAAACCTGTTCTTGGAAGCTTTGCAACGAGATTGTAAAATTGCTAGCTTATTTGATCCGTTCTAAGTAGAACTACTATGCAAAAGAACTTCAAAATTCATGCTGATTTTAAAACTTAAGTTTTTGAATTTGGTAAGATTTTTTTATCAAATTTTTTCGAAGAAGATTAAAAATACTTAGTCTCACTAACATTAAATACAAAAAAAATGGCTCAGAAATAAGAAACAAAACATATCAATGCTTGGCAACGATCAGTAATTGGCAGATGACAGAAAATACCAAACTTACTAAGCAATGAATATTCAAAATTACGGATTAATGATAAAAGAGAATAATACATTGCTTAGAGCAAATGCAATATCGGATGGATTAATTAATTGAAGAAATATCAGTGCTAATATTTCAAATGTGAACAAAATATGAGAGAAAAAGTGATAAGTGAAAAATAACAAAATGAAATATCTCCAATTAATTAGAAGGAATAGTCTTGAAAGAAAGAATAATCCTAAATCATTAAAAATAATGTCCGATGATCGGAGTAAAACAATTTGAAGCTTTACCCCTTTGTTTTATCCCCAAATTAAATTAAAGAGAAACATACATTATTTATTTGATTTTCAAAATTCTTCATTTCATATTTTTTTCTGCATCTCTTTAAATAAGAATAATCGATTCCGATTGTACTTACAAACTCATATCTCTTTCACTTTTCAAGTCCTTTATCCTTCCAATAAATTCAAATTTCATTTTTGGAACTTCTTCATTCTAATCTCGTATTTATATGTAATTAACATTTAAATTTGCTAAAAAGAAATTTTGTATTCATTGAAAAAAATGAGTTCGTGATATTTTGCAGTTCGTGATATATCACTAACTGCTATATGATAATGAGAAACATTGTGATAATTTGTTTGAAATGTGAAATAGTAACACTTTTCTTTACTCTTTTAATAATTCAACCAATGAAATTAAAGCTTGTGGCCCTTTTCATGCTATTAAACATAGCCACAATAAATAATAACAATTTATCCTCTCCTAAGTTTTCATTGTAACAGTTGATTCAAAGATATAAAAGTCTTACAGATGATTTTAACTTTTGTTTTTAGATATTAAGGATACTTGGTTACGCAACTATTTCATTTTTTTGATAGAATGAATTTTGTTAAAGAAAAAAGTTATTTTCATGCTGTGAATTGAAATATTAAAAGTAAGAAAAGATATTTGTCAACAGAAAATACATCAAAAAACCTACTGAGAATATAGCTAATTTTAAAATCTTTCAATGAATTAGCTATATTATTTAAATGTAACAGTTCTGGCGAAATATTCCGATACAAGAAACTCATCCGTATGTAATCCACGAAAAGGAAAGAAAGGATGACTACATATTTTACGATACAATGATTTTGATTTCGAAAATTAAAATTTTTGCAATTATTGTATGTATGAATTATCAACTTATTCTTTAGTTCTAAAAATAGTACTTTATTGAGTATCAATTCCTTTTGTGTTATATCTGAAATTCACTGAAGGAGGAATGAATTAATTTGACTGAATATTTTTATCAAACGTGATTTTCGGATGAAGAATGCAAACAATTTTAAATATTTGACATATAGCAGATGAGCTAATGTATAATGAATTAGCAAAATAAATTGTGCAAATATTTAAACATTGAACACTTTTTAATTGAACATTTAAACTGTTGATGCAATTAGAGTGGTTGTTATTCAAATTCTTCTTCATTTTCGTTCCAGCAATATGTCATAATTCAAAATTCAACACAGCTTGTTATTCGTAGGTTTTTTGGATTTCGTTAAAATTGTTCAGATTTTGTCGGTATTTGACATGTGCAGTTCGCTCGGCGCAATAAAATTAGTACTCTAACATTTAATTTTGAAGCTAATGTGTTGGTTTCGGGATACACTAGACACTTTCTGCCAACAAACAATGAATGATTGACTCTTGCAAGTTAACTCTTCGCTCTAATTTATATGACCTTTATTCTGAAAATAAATAGGGAGTTTTTGAAGCATCAAAAGTTTTACAGATTTTTTGGAGAATTCAGAGAAAATGGGTCATTTCAATTCACGGAGCTTCCCACTATAGTTGAATGCAATCAGAAAGTACAATACTGTTTTGTTGAAGTTAGTAAAATTATTCACAATTGCACGAAATTCATCCATACAGAAGTTGTTGAAATGGTTGAAGAGAATGAAACAAAAAAAAATCATGTGAAGAAGCCAAACATAAATTTTTTTGTTTTATATCATCCTGTCTTGGAATATGAAAAAGAATATAAAATCAGAAAATCTAATTCGAAGTGGATTTTGATGTAAAAATCAGTATTGGATTCAAATATTTACTTTTTCTTTAGCAAGATTTTAGTACTTTGAATTCCTTGATTAGCACTTTGAATTTGATTGGTATAACTTTTAAATAATCCACTAACAAAAAATATTCGTCAAAATTTATTATTGTAGGAAAATTATGTGATGTGAAGTGTAGAATTATGAAATATACTAATTTATAGTTTTATCGTATTGCTTATTTCACCTGGTTCAATGGACAATGTGATAATTCATTTGCTTGTATTTATGAATCTGATTATGCATTCAGTAATGGATGTCAAGCGTTAGTTATTTATGCACTCTCTCTCACATGAATATATCACTTTAATATATTATCAATCAATCTCTGACAACTGATATGTGTCTAGAGAAATGCATAATCAGTTAAATGAATGAATAAATTATGCATATGCATAGGAATTAAATATCTTCCATAATCATTTAGATTTAGAATATATCAATTCAATAGATTTAGAATATATCAATGTATCAATATAAATCTATCGTTGTAGATGTAAATATATCTTACCAATGATCAATTAAGCGCTGATCTTTCTTAATTATAGGTCATAATAAGAGTAACAAAAGTCATAAAAATATAATTTGATGGTAATTTGCAACTTTCAAATGGGTCAAATTTCATACATTAGCAACGCTCTCTATTTCAGAACCTTGCATGGCGGCGACCGATGTTGTTGTAGCAATAAACTATGCAATTTTGATATAATTTTGAAGGAACGTCCCTATTTCGCAAAATATTTACCACAGCAACAAGTTTTGAAAAGTGAAAATATACCGTTGGAGTCACACTGTGGAAAAGTTGGAAAAGTTAAATCAAAATCAAATTAAAATTGAAATGAAATCCTTAATGAAAGATGTACAATGTTACTATAATTTTCAATCTATTTTCATTCTTATATTTTTACAATATAGGAAATGCATTTAAAAACTCAATTTCTAATTCTATTTTTTTGCTTAAAAAATATGTGGAGAGATGTTTGCGATAATATTTGTTAAGTCTTTTATTGTTATCTTGTTTTAAAAATTATAATTTTTCTAGATTTTTATCCTAATCATTGACAAAATTTTACATATCTCGATAGACCAAATTTGCATGTATAAATCTTTTGAAAAAACTCATTACATAAGTGAAAGAAAAAACGATAGTAGGCTGTGTAACAATGATAATGCATTGGCAAGTGGTGATAGAATCATTATCTTTTTTTTTAATGGTAATAGAACGGTCAGTTCAGAACTCTTTTCAAAGAGCTCCTACTTGTGACCTTATCGAGAATGTGTCATTTGATAGAACTGTCAACAACGATAAGAATTTATGGATAGCTGCAAGAAAAGACATGGTTTTTCTACCAAATACATATATTACTAATAAGAAATTATTGAAGAACAATGAACAGAAAAAAAGAAATTTAGAAGAAATGAAATTTATAACGAAACGTGAAATTGAATTTTCAATTGATGCTAAATACCGAAATCAAATCAATGAACATTGTGGTGATGGCGATTCGTACTATTTCCCGGCCTTAAATGAATGCTATCGTATTTATCGTACGCCTTACAGTAATCTTAATGCCAATTATGTTGGTGAGAGAAATGAATTAGCTTACGGTACGAGTCAATATGATTATATGTATAATTGTTGGGAACTTTATCGCGGAAAGTTACTCGATATTAGGGATGCAGTTGTAGAAGAGAAAATGCAATTGGTGAAACAGATAGCACTGCGATTTTATAGCATTACCGGACAACGCGATGCTATTCGGGTAGGCTTCATGATTAATAAAAATTATGAAATAATGTCCCAAAATGGTACTTTTTACGATATATTGGATGGAGTTTACGTGAAAATGCATCCAACCGAACCGTGCGATAATATTTGCTGTATTGTGATAAAATTAGCTGAAACTGATGAGGTGGATATAGAACAAGCAACTTGTGATCAATCCTTAGCGATACCGAATTTTTTTTGCCAAAAACGAGGAAGAAAATAATAAATTAGCATTTATCATCATTCAATCTACTTTCTCACGTCATACTTGTCAACTGATTATCAGACTTATTAAATTTCTTGCTGTAATCTCCAATTGACATTAGCCGCAAGAAAGTACACACATGGCAATGCTTTGTGATAGATATTTTCAAATGTCTCGAAAAAAGCCCTTTCGAAAGAATGAATTCATCAATTCATTTTCTTTTAACTTATATCATACAAATCTCATTTTGAAAAGGTTGAAAGGTTGAAATACCGTGTGAATGAGTAGCTGAGGAATTTTCTAAAATAAAAAATATGAATGTAAAAAAAATGTTGAAATGTATGACAACGTCAAATTGGTTTGAGAACAGAAATAAATCACTGATGAATATCTCTGAATGCTTTAAGACTGATAACACGTAGCGAGACGTTTTGATCTCTTTTGTTAATGCTATAAAACTTTGACTGATGAAAACTTATGCTATGCTTTAGAGTAGATTTAATTAAAAATTTATTTTAGACTTTGGATTAAAAGAGAATAAAAATTTAACATTGACATTGAAATTGCTTATTTGAACCAATTATCTCTAGGAAGGAGATAAGAAATTTGAAGGGAAATGATATGAGTAAAAATATAGATAGGAAATCAGTCAATTAAATTGCATTTGGATATAATCAAGAATAATAGCTGTTATAACGTCAACTAATATTTTCACATGAAATATCTATATAAGTGCAGGCGCTTCGCAAATGTAACTCAGTGCTCGTGTACGATTGTCACAACTCGCATAAATCATTTTCACGTCAACCGTTGCTCGCGTATCCGCGAAAAATACAACGCAGCAAACACTGGGACAGCAAACGTTGCCATTTCGATGTGAATGCCTCACTTTGTCTAACAGGTCATAATGCTCGCCATCTTGCGAGATTAGTTCGTATTTTCGATTTATCATGAAACCAACTTGGATTGCTTGTCGGTTAAATGATTGTTGGTTAAAATTTATTATCATTTCTTTCACGAAATTCATTTTCTCACGAATATGTTCCAATCCTATTTTCAAAAATCGATGTCATGTTTGTTTTATCTAAGAATTTCTGCAAGGATGGTTTCAGAATCGGAGAAAAAAAAGAATGAAGAATTGTAAACTGAAGGAACCAAGCTAGAAAATTGTAAAGTAAAATTATATATAAAATATAATTATTGGTCTCTATTACAATCCTTAAAATAATTTAATTACATCTTTCCCATTTATATTTATGTATTCTTTCATCATTGTAATTTTGTAAGGCCTACTATTTTAAAATTAAATTAATGCAAATTCAAATGCAATCGACAGTGAACTAGCCAAAAAGTTTAGGCAAGATCATGATTTACAAATATTATTTTTCAATCCCCTTTAAGGCACTATTTATTCTAATTAAGATTTTAAAATACAAATTTTATTAAATTGAATGATTAAGTTTTAAAAATCTCAAAATTTATCAAATATAACGAACCAATATCAAGCAGTTTGCCTCGATACTGCTGCCAACAGTTGAACATATATTCGTTACGAGTACCGCCATATGCAATCTTGCGATCGAGATCGATGTTCAGAAACTGAGCGTGACTGATGAAATAGCATTCGTTGAGTGGCTCAAAATAGTATGATTGATCATCACCACATCGCCACCTCGCTTCCGCTGCTCGTTCATGTTTTTTATGAGATTTTGTTAGAGAAATCAAATCGACATTTTCATTTCGGATAGGATACTTTAATCCATTATTTTTAATAACTTCTACTTCATCGATAGTACCGATTTTAATATCCTTCGCATCCAATCCCACAACTTGTCCTTTGATTACCACAAATAATAAAATCACGTTGCAGCAGCCATTCATTCTAAAAATCGAACAGAAATAGCCTTTCACTATCATTTTATAGAAGCTTATGAGGCAATTACAGTGAAATTTACATATTGTTGAATTTGTAGCGAATATTTTCCTGCATGAATTAAGATTTAATTTGGAAATAGTCAAGTTAGCTAAATGAGATTAGGCTGACTTGAATTTGATTTTAACAAAATTACTATGTTGCTTGCGAATATATTTAATTAAAATCAGCCATATTTAGTAAAACGATAAGAATTATTTTGGAACAGTCAAGTCAGTCTAACAGTCTGATTGTCGATTCATTATTGATTAAGCAACAACTAAACATATTCCTTAATATATTTAAGAAATAGAATTGAGATTTCCAAATAATGCCATCAATAGTAATAACTAGCCAATAATTCCGCATTATTTTCTAGCTGACCGCTCAATTATCACAAATCAAATCACAGTAATTGTTTACATTTAAATTGTATTATTTTAAAATATAAGCTCAAAATTCGTCTTCATAAAAAACTTAACCAACTATTTTTGAAACACAATTTATTTCTTGCTTTTATTTCGTCGAAAAATAATTATTTAGAAATTTCTTTTATAATTAGCTTTTGCTTTAAAACTTCACTAATCTTGCATATTTTAACAGAGTTTTTTTTTAACAAATAACATTTCAATAAAATATTATATAGCATATTATAGTATTGCTCTGATAACTTTTTCAAAATATTGTTGTATGCTACTTCGGAGCAAAAATAAGCAGGCAACTGCATTTCAATATTATAATAATGTGCAAAAAAATAGCAAAAATGAAACATATACAGTATTCTCGACAGCGCATTCTGTTGTGATAAAATACAAGTATATGATACTATAGTGAGAAAGGCAAAAAAAAAAACATAACTCATACTGGAAGCTTATCAATAGATTACCAAACAGTTTAAAATAACTCATGATCATTATTATCATCGTTTACCCAATTGATAAATGAAATTAAAAATTCAATTTTGTGTTTTTTTTGAGCTCTAAAGCATTAATCATGCTAATTTATTCAATCACACGCAACTTATGAAGTAAAGCGCACGCTTATACTCAATACATGGTATATAGTCGCTTTATCAAAATTGCAATTCTGAGAGGGGCACATATTATTGCCTAATTAAAAGTTTCTATAAATAGATAAGTTCTAAATTACAAATATGTTGACGGCTCAATAAATTGAATTAATATAGTCGGTTAAAAAGAAATATTTCGTTTTGAGATCATTCAAAATTATCAGTGATACGTTTATCATTAGTGGAAATAATACAAATTCATCCTTTCCTTTCCATTCTTTGATATTACTGCAAGCCTTTTTTAGTATTATACGAAATTTCAAATTATTTTTCAGCAGTTAAATTCGATATATGCCCAAAAATTTTCTGACAATTTAGAGGAATGGCTTTATAAAAATTTGGAAATATTTATATCTCTAATAGAAAGCTTTTCCAAGACTACTAATTTATTGATGTTCCTCTACACCCCCATTATGAGAAAAAGAAAAGCACTTACCATAATTAAATTTTTATAAAAAATGAAACTGGAGTTCCAAAAAGGAAGAATTTCACTTGCAGGTGTCACATCCTTCAAATTTCTGTGTAAATAAAAGTCAAAATAATGAATGAGTTTGTGAACTATTAATTTGAGGAGGAGCATTTGTAAATTAATATTCAACCAATGAGAAGTAAAGGAACTTACTCCTAAAAGTGACCTCGTAGAGGATTCGACATGGAATGCTTGTGATGACTTGGAAATGATAGGGCTGAACGAAATATCAAAACGCTTAAGCTAATTTTTTTTTTTTTGGAGGATTACATCAGCAAAACCAAAGCTATGTAAGCTTAAGATGTAAATTTGCCTTGCAAAGTTTACATTTATTCCCTGTAACTTTCATTCATATTTTGTAATGTAATTTGAAAAAATTTGCAAAAAATAAAAAAAACCCACATCGTAATTTCAATTTGCAGAAATAAATTCAGAATTTTCAGTGGAATCAGATTTTATTTATAATAATTATTTATTAAACGAGATGATATGCGTAGTTAAATCAGATTAATTGTCTTTTAACATTCGTTCTCTCCTTTTACGTGCAATCAAATTGTCGTATTCTTTGAGGAAATTTATTACTTGCTGATCTCTTGATAACAAATTTTCTTCAACTAGTAGTTCAATCATCATGCGGTAAATGAATAGATATTGCTATAAACAAGTTTATTGAATCGTTTATTAATTAATTTAACTTTAGCATATATTTATGGATTTATACATGAATATACTAAAACCCATAGATATATATATATTAAAAAATATGAAAATAAGCTTAATTATTTCTTATATACTTACACACATAAAATAACTGCTGTACTGCTTTTATTCCTAACCATTGCTATGAGTTCGATAAAAAATTTTTCAAGTTACTGGATTTCGCACTGAAGCGTGAAATGTGATAACTTGTTAAAAACTATCACATTGCATTATTTGGTTTCATAAATCAAAAGATCATTAGTGCTATAGTCATATTTTTTGAAGTTTTATGAATTGCAAAAATTTATAAAAAGTTACTCTAAAAATGTTTCAATAGTTTTGTAATGAGCCATACAAACAAACATTTATTTTTCAAAATAAAATATTATAGGAAAAGATTAGCTTACCAAATCGTTTTGTACAGCATGCAAACGTTGTTCTCGCAGTTTCTTCGTTATATCCACAACAATACAAGTTTCATTTTTACGCAATTTCTCCATTGCCATCTCTATGGCAACAAAAGTTCCTGTCCTAAAATACAACAACTTTCATCCATCTAATATTAATTCTGTAAGAATATAAGATGAAAGTTTTTTTTAAAAATCGCAATGTGATTTAAAAATTCAACAGAACCTCCCAACACCAGCGCTACAATGCACGATTATTGGCTTTTTGCCATAATATTTGCGCAACAAACTATAAATTTCGCGACAGGTAGCGGGTGAGTCGGGAACGGAATGATCTGGCCATCCTGCGTAAGCGATATGCATTACCTATTAAAATATTTCTTTTTAAAAAAGATTTGATATAAAAATTATCATATCCCATGTTATTAGTGCCAGTGATAAAATGTGATTGAAACCGATGGCGATGTTGCAAATCTAATGCAATGTTCTCTGTAAAAAGGGAAATTTTTTATCGCTGAACTATCCATCCATTCAACAAAAATACATTAATCGAATCATAAAAAACTTGTAACCGAATTCAATTTAAAACGCAAAAAATTTGGCGTTTTAATGAATTTGAGTTTTAAATGAAGGGAATTTAAACTTCACTAAAATGCATTGAGAACGTAAACATTATCACGGGTTTCTTAATGTTTCAGAAAAATGTAATTTTGATAAACTGAAAATTGCGCACAATTTATACCTCTTGTTTTTTATCAGAATATGAAGCTTCAATTTTCGTCCGTGTTACCTTCTTAAGCGTGACAATACCAGAAGTTGGTTCCGTGATACGAACTCGAACTGCTCCGTATTCTTTCCATCCAATGCTTTCATTTGGGAAGTATTCGGAACACTGTTCACGGTCGTTCTCTTTGTTCTGACATAATTGAAGGATTACCTAAAATATTTTTCCTTTCCTTCATTTCTAAGCTTAAATTCGAAACTTAAATCGTGATAATTTTTTTCTAGCTAATTTCTAGGTATTCTAGGTGATTTTTTGAAGGTTAAACTCAAATGCGCATACATATTGTTATAATTAAATGAGTAAAGATTAATTAGTAGCTAAATCTATGTGTGACATTGTTCAGTTCAGTTAAAAGAGAAATGCTAAAAGAATGAAATGGAAATACATTCGTTTGTTCTTGTATAGCCATTATCCAGAAATCCTGTACAGTATTTAGTAGCGGTCCTTGAGCACATATATATGTGAGGTCATTTGATACAATAACATAAGATGCATGAATATAATCATCATCATCTAGAAATTGCAATTTTTTATGAATTTAACATTTATGAATTTCAAATTTGATACAACTATAAATAAGCAGTATTTATGTCTCTGTCAAAAATTCAAATCTATTTTGCTATTTTTTATTCTCAATCCTTTTTTTTTTATTCTTTTTCATTCTCATAAGGAATGTTAAGTTGTAACTCATTCATTTTGTTTGAATTATATTCAACAAAACTAGTTTTTTCAGTTGTTTTTGCATTTTTGTGTTTGTTTGTTTCGAATTAAAATAATGACAACAATTTTTGAAAATGTAGTTCATAGCAAACTTACTATTAGGTATCTTTTTTAACTTAACTCTTGTTTTATCCTCCAGTTTGATGTCTTCATATCTGCAATATTCCTAATTAGAAAATTCAAACTCATTAAAATACAGCGAAATTTACTACGATATATTGTGAGAAATACATGCACTGTAGTATTCTAACTTTTATTCATTAAAGGAAATATGAGACCTATTTTTGTCGAAATTCTGATCGAGATTCCATGCCTCCATCGCAGCATTTTTGGGAGTGTAATTTTTGATTTCATTGACAAATTCCTTCCGTATACCTCGTATACCTAATTGAGCTGCAGTTTGCATCCATTCTTCTTGCACGCTTAACTTTCCTTTTATTGTTGTTATTGCCTGAAACACACTTAAATAACTCCTTCAATAAAGTCAACCTGAGAAGTATCTGAAAGAATCATCTAACTTTAGGTCTTCGAACAAATTTTCGACCAACGATTTGTTCCTGTGTAATTAAACGACTATGTAGACTTCTTTTGTCCTTAATTTTACTTCCACCTTCATCAGGAAGTACCGAACATTTCATCCGTCCACGTGACATTATACGCCGCTTAAAAAAAAACAAAATTAATTTAAAAAAGAGGAAATGCTGTTAAGGAAGTTAGAATTAGGTAATGGATAGCTTATGAATATAGTTTTAGAGCTAATGATCTAGCAGAGAAATATAGTGATACTGAGATTCTTTTTATTTAGTATATTAATTCGTTTAATGTTGTACAGCTCAAGATGACTTTGCATGTTTTTGAGGTAAAAGATATAAATGGTAATTTTGGAATTCCAGAAGTTTTCAATTTCAATAATTTTGAAGTATTACAAATTGGACCCAACGAAATGTTGATTGGATTCAAGTTATTTTAGTAGTAAAATTCAAAATGAAATGGAAATCTGAAGTGAACCGATTTCCTTAATCAACGGTACCTTATCTCGCTTCATTATGTCTCTAAAATCGGACTTGAAGTATGGACCACAGTCGCCTTATAATACTTATGCAAATAAGAAATGAAGATTTTCCATGCCACCATTTCCTTTTTATCTTTTTCCCAAAGTTATAAATTTTGCATGATTCTTATAAAGCATTATTATAATAATGACATTTTATTGAGTTATTAGAAAAAAAGATGAAAGAAAAGCGATCTCTAGGTTATCAATAAGTATCGTGTGTGGATCCCTTTTGATTCGTACAATTATTGCTATTTCACATTTTTGTTTTTACATAATTGTAATCAAAATAACTGATTTTGAAATTACTTAATGTAATATTACGTAGCATTTCCATACAACGTTTTCGACTGCCAAATTCCTTGACTTCACACCAACACTTAATTAAATTTTTATTCAAAAAATTAAACTTTGTAGAAAAAATTAGGAGTATGAAACCTTCCGAGAGACATACTGACATGCCAACCGACGTACATTAATATAATATGATATTCTAATTCATCCTATGTATATCTTATATATGTATCCTATATATAATTTATCCTATATATCTTAAGGATGAGTTACTTGCCGAACTTCAAAAGCACTAACTTTCAAAAGTTCATGAAAAAAACTGGAATCACCCAATTTTCATAATTTTGAAAAACAAAAAAAAAGACAAGGAAAAAACATTTGCCCCATCTTTTAGCATATTACAACGTTATTCCATTTTTTTAAATTTCCAAACATTAGCTAGCAAATGTTAAATTTGTCCGTTTTATGCTTTCATACAATTCCATCCATTCCAATTTCAAAAAATTATTAAAATTTAATTACTAATTGATGAAAATTAGGTCAATACATGATTATTTTTAGCTCATTTGAAATTGTCAACAATTTACTGTTTTTAATACAAATCGTGGATGTTTCTTTTTCAGTAAATGAATGTAAATAAATGAGGTTCGTTTTCCTCATTATTTACCTTCATTTACATAGAATTGATAAATTCTGAAATGCTATGATAAATGACTGTAAGGAATATGATTCAATTCTTTTTATTTTTTTCATTCCATTGTAATGGTGAAAAAATTTTATCACATTATGTGCAATAAATGAGGTTATTTCCTTCATTTATTTACTTCCTTTTATATAGAATTGATAAATTTTAAAATGCTTTGATAAATGATTGTAAGAGATATGATTTAAATAAAGATAGCTCGAGTCGATAAAAACAAATAATTTCCATAGAAAAATCTATGGAGGTAATCCATAAGAATTAATAGGCTTGATAATATATTGGCTGACGTGAAACGTCATCCTGGAAGTCTGTCCGATATTTTTTGTTCATTTTTGGTTTTTACAAACACGAACA